GCCCTGCACAAAACTTAAGTCAAAATGGATGAAAGACCTCAACATAAACTCAGCCACACTAATCCTATTAGAAGACAAAGTGGGAAATACCCTTGAATTAATTGGTACATGAGACTGCTTCCTGAACATTATACCAGTAGCACAGACACTGAGATCAACATTTGAGATCAACATTTGATAATTAGGACCTCCTGAAACTGAGAAGCTTCTGTAAGACAAAGGAGACAGTCAGCAAGACAAAACGGCAGCCCAGACTGGGAAAAGATATTCACCAACCCCACATCTGACAGAGGGCTGATCTCCAAAATATAGAAAGAACTCAAGAAGCTAGTCTCCAAAACACCAATCAATCCAATTGAAAAAATGGGGTACAGAACTAAATAGACAATTCTAAATAGAGGAATCTAAAATGGCTGAAATACACATGAGAAAGTGTTCAACATCCTTAGCCATCAGGGAAATGCAAATCAAAACAACTCTGAGATACCATCTTACTCCTGTCAGAATGGCTAAAATCAAAAATGCCAATGACAGTTTATGCTGGAGAGGATGCAGAGAAAGAGGAACACTCCTCCACTGCTGGTGGGAGTGCCAACTTGTACAGCCACTTTGGAAATCAGTATGGCGACTCCTCAAGAAAATGGGAAGGAGTCTACCACAAGATCCAGCAATTCCACTCTTAGGCATATACCCAAAAGAAGCACATTCATACCACAAGGACATCTGTTCAACCATGTTCACAGCAGCACTATTTGTAATAGTCAGAAACTGGAAGCAGCCTAAATGCCCCTCAACCGAAAAATGGATAGAGAACAATGGATTACTAGTCAGTGGAAAAAACAATGGAATTTTGAAATTTGCAGGAAAATGGATGGAACTAGAAGAAACCATTCTGAGCAAGGTAACCCAGTCACAAAAAGACAAACATGATGCGTACTCACTCATATGTGGATTTTAGACATAGAGTAAAGAATTACCAGCCTACAACTCACACTGCCAGAGAAGCTAGTAAACCTGGAGGACCCTTAGAGAGACATGCTTGGTCCCCTGGAAAAGGGGAGAAGGTCACGATCCCCTGAGCACTTGAGAGCACTGGAAGAGGGGGGATGGAGCTATGAGAATGAGAAGGGAAGAAGAGGAGGGATGCAGAGGTCATGAGGGAACAGAAAGCTTGAGTCAGGGGAAGAATAGAAGAAAGGATATGTGATAGGTAGGGTTTTAGTTGGGGGGTTTGTAGGGGAGGACAGGAGGGAGAAGGGAATTGGGATTGTCATGTAAAACAATCTTGTTTGTAATTCAAATTTAAAAATCTGAAAAAAAAAGAAACACATCTAACAAGTAGGAGAAGACACAAGCTTGAGACACACCCACAGAAACTATGCTCATATTTTACTTGGAATGAGTTTATAACCATATTAGTAATGTATGTATATACAAAATTTCATAAAGGTATCTTCTGGCAGATGTTAAAATTGAGAGAGTCCTCATCTCAGGTCTTTTGAGCACTCAGTTTGGAAGCACAGTGATCTTTCACTTCATCCTGTGGTGTCAAAGAACTCATCTGAAAGAGGAACATAATCACTCCTAAGAATGACACCAGTGACACTGTGGCTGTCAGGATGCCTACTGAGAACATAGCAGTGTAGTGTTTGTTTATTAAAGCATCTTTCTTAAAAGGAAAGTTGGGTGGAAGATCAAGGATGGTTTGGTCATAAAGGTTTACAACATGGTTCCAGCTCACAGAAACAAATGCGGAAAGGCTGCTAACATATAAATCTAAAGCACAGATCTTGTATAAAAGTATCTGCATGTGTTTTTTAAAGTATCTGCATGTCAACAAGTGGGGCTTTCACGCAGCTGTTCTTGATGGCCACTACACTGCAAATAAGGATGGCAGGTTTCATCAAAACGGCCAACACTCTTAGTGTCTGTGCACACTGAAATTCAAGTAAAATGGTCCATGTTGAGTTGATAGGGCTGTGCACCAGGTTCCTGATCACAGACCCAGATTTGTCAAACTCTTGATGGTATTAAGCTTACCAGAGTCCAAAAACCAAAAGCTGCACAATGTTATTGTCAAATTCACACAGGCGCCAGTTTTGACTGCACTCAAGGATTATTTCAAGCACCAAAGCTGATAGGCTGCAAATGTGTCCACTCAGTTTGAAGACACATGCCTTTGCCACAGCAAATCTGAAGATGAGGTTGAAGAAGTATAGAGTCAAGCCAAGAAGACAAAGAAGGAAAAACAGAATATGATGTGGTTTTAAAGCACTAAATGTCCCCACTGTCTCAAAGTTGTATTTAAGTAGTCTATGTATGTATTATGTTTCAACACAGGTAAGAATATAAGAAGTCTGGAAATCCAAGTGTGGCAGAAATAACCTCTTTAAGATGCTTTGGACAACAATTTCATAATATCCATCAAATGATAAATGTTTATATTTGTTGACTAGGAATTTCAATGCTTGTAATTAATAGTGAGATAAGAATTTGCAATATCTTATGCAAGATGATACCTATTTCACCTGTTTGTAATAAATTAACATTATTAATAACTTAGAACAAAGTAATAAGTAGAGCAATACTTAAATTAATTGTCATTTCTAAAGATTATAGAAGAACATTTCATAACTATTACAAATTGAACTCTTCTATATCATCTGCTGGAAGAACAAATAAAAAACAATACCCATAGTAAACCCATTTGTGTCAAAGTAATAACATAGTTGAGATATGTAAGTATGTTTATATATGCAACGAAAGAGATGTGAACATAACAGCTACACTCCTCAAATGGACCCCCTACTAGATCAACTCAGTAGGTGCACTGTCATTCTTCTTTGTATATGTTTCTGAAATGTGTACATTTCTGAAGAAACCCGTACATATTTTAAAAATAAAACCACAGGGTAAAAGTGAACTTCAAAATCTATAGGTAGCTAGGCTGGAAATATGCCAGCACTACAGTGATTGCCTAACCTGTGTGAGACCCTGACTTATTTTCTCAGTAGAACATACCCAAAATCTCTGTGTAAAATTGGTGGAATCACAGATGTTTCCAATTATTACCCATCTCTTACTCAAAATTTCACATTTATGTAACTGACTTCATTTCAATGAAACTAAAAATATATCCTGACTGATGTGTTTGACGCAAAACTCTGTTCCACATTTACACTATCAGACAACCTCTTTGGACCTTCTCTTAGTTTGAATCTTTAGATGTAGTATTAACGTTCATTTAAAAAAAAAACATGCTCTGCCATTTAGCAGAACTCCTGCTGTGCCATTTAGTAGAAAGGAAGGAGGGGGATTCTTCAGTCACTAAGCACGTGGATAATGTCATTGCCAATGCCCATTCTGAAGATTTGAGGGGACTGTCCCTTTGCCAAGGAACTTTTTCTAACAGCTACCCACTGCTCCACAGTCTTCTTGGGAATGTCCTTTCTAACTGGAAGAAAAGAATAGTAATAGTATTTGGGAATTTACATCAGCAAGATGGGTTAGTTGTCGATGGTGGCTTGGGTAACTTCCCTATCTGTGAGCTCTTCCTTGCCAATGAAGATCTGAAGCAGTGGACTTCATGAGCAGTGTGCTTTGAAGCAGTAATGGAAATAGGATGGAGATTGCTGCTGTGACCAATAAGTGAGCTAACATCGCAAGATTTGGTGCTGCCCATGTTCAAAACCCATGAGATAGAGGCATGTGTTTCATAAAGATCCAATTTGAAAGCCTCCATATAGCTAGTTTTAAGTTTTTTACCTTTGTAGATTGCGGGTGAGGCGATACATTTGGAAGCTGACTGAATCACAAATGTTCTTCCTAGTTACAGGAAATGTTGACAATAGAGGGAGTCTCAAGAAGACAGGAAACACCTTCAGCAAAACAAATTCTGTTAGGCAAATATTTCAGCTCAGAACAATGTCTTTCAAATCCTTGGCTCTCACAAACCTTTCCATTACTCCCCCGTGCTTGAGTTAGTTGGAGCCTCTTTAAACACTTCAGAGGTATTATCACATCTAATATTACTGACCCTCCAATGATAGCCACACAATTATTGCCCCCATTTTATAGACAGGGAAACAACATACAGAGGCTAATTTATATACTCAGCTTCAGGAAACTTCACGGGTATAATGGGCATTGAAGCACCTGGAAACCTTATAGTCACACACTGGGCTACCTGGCACTTAATGATATTTGGCAGAATTTACATACAGCAAATCATGCCAATGGCTTTATCTGGCCTTTTGTGTCCTGTGAACCTGAAAGTAATTAATGAAAACTACATAAAAAATATAAAATACTTGCTTCTTTGTCTCCTATAAGCCCAAGTGTTAGCGACTGCCAACTGGAAGATAAGCAACTATAAAAATTCTTATGTTTCTGTGACTGCCAGGGCATAATGGTGCATTGTGAGCAATGGATAAGTTTCTAGATACATGTAACCATAAAGGGCCAACGTTCTAAAACTCCCTTTGTATGTAAGAAGTCTTTCAAAAAGAAACTTGCTTTTGAAGTCATGCATCAAATAGCCACTATAATATCTGATGACCATAACAAAGAAAATTATTTTTTAAAAAGAAAAAACTTATTTACATAATAGAATGAAAAGATGTTCCGTCATAAACGCCAGTGTCTGTCTTAGAGAGTTTGGGAGCAAATGACCTTCCATAACTCTCTTACACACAGACAAAGATTAGATATTAGAAGCTTCTAATTGCTGAGCTCCTGGGAGATCTGTGTTTTGGTTACAAGCAAATGCACCTTTTTCTGCATTTTACTTTAAACATGACTGTCTTAGAGTTTCCATTACTGTGATAAAATGTCATGGCCACGAGCAACTTGAAGAACAAAGGGTTTATTTCACTTATTCTTTCAAATCATGGTGCATCATCAGAAATGTCAGGGTAGGAACTCAAGGCAGGAATTGAAAGAAGCAGAAGCCAGAAAGAACACTGCTTTTTGGTCTCTTCCTCATGGCTTTCTCAACCTGCTTTTTTAAACATATAGGACCAGAGATCCAGGATTGGCACTGATCACAGAGGTGCTAGGCCCTCTCATTCATGAATCAAGAAAATGACCTGTAAATTTGCCTACAAGCAACCTTATGGAAGGGTTTTCTTAATTGAGGTCCTTCTTCCCGAATAACTTTATGTTGTATCATATTGATAAAAATACTATCCAGTATAATGACTGTCACTTATGCAGAAGATAGTAAAAAGGTACTGTTTTACTTCATACTATGGTAAAGTTTAAGAACCTTCCTTTCCCTAAGCACACAGGTAAAATGAAGCAGAAGACAAAAAGAGAGCAGAAAAGAATAAATAGAAAAGGTAGATATGATTTTCTTTTTATAACTTCTTTCTTTGTATTTCATATTTCATTTGTGGTATAATAACCAGAGAAGAAAACCCATGAATGTGTTTTTATATAGAAATTAATTTAAACTTCTTAATAAAGGCTGGAAAGATAGATAAGTACTTATGAGTCCTAACTACTCTTCCAGGCTACATGGGGCAATTCTCAGCATCCACTTGATGGCTCACAACTGGCAGTAGCTCCAGTCCCAAGGAATCTGAGCCTGTATTCTGGCTTCCATGGATGATGTGGTGCATGAATAAATACTCGTGCAAACACTCATAACCATAAAATAAATATAATATCAAAGCAGTTTTGTGCTGGCTGTCTTCATGTCAATGTGGTACAAACTATAGTCATCTGAGAGGAAAGAACCTCAACTGAGAAAAATGCCTCCATAAGATGGGGCTGTAGGCAAGGCTATAGAGCATTTTCTTTTTTAATGATTGTTGGGGGAGGTCCCAGCATTGTTGGTGGTGCCCTCTGTGGGCCAAAAGTCCTAGGTTTTATAAGAAAGCAGGTTGAGCAATCCATGAAGTGTAAGGCAGTAAGCAGCACTCCTTCACAGTCTCTGTGTAAACTCCTGCCTCCAGGTTCTTGCCCTGTTTGAGTTCCTGTCCTAACTTCCCCTGACAAATCAACAGTGGAAAAGAAAGTGTAAGCCACATTAATCCTTTCCTCCCTAATTTGTTTTTTGGTTATGATGTTTCATCACAGCAATAGTATTCCTAAAACAATTTTAACGGCTCAATACGGACAGTTTTGGAGAAGTAGATTGCATTGCTTTGGAGGATTAGCACAGCAGAGGACTAAGGACCTGAAGGACTGGGCAGTCTACAATTATACAAGCTTGCCTGAAGGATTCCTACTGGACCTGGTGGCATCCAAGATGCATGCCACTGGCTGGCAACTTTCCCAAGGCTTACTTATGATAATCTGTTAAAAATAGATTTTATTTCTGAAGCAGAAAGGCTCTGTGCAGGGTTAGATACAGCTCTGTTGATCTTGGGGATTATGGGATCATTCTAAATGTCAGCTGAGTTTTTATGGATAGCTACCAGCATGTTTATGAATGGATGCTGAAAGCAAAGCTGAGATCCTCATAGCCAGTCTTCACAGTAATCATGGTGTGGCTCTGCCCAACCACCTGTTCTTGTGGTTCTGGCACATGTGAAACATAACTGTGAAGCAGTCCATCTTGAACTTGATCATATAATTGCCAAACCCTGGCATGTTCTGCATGCCATCTTTCCTGCCACGTGGTTTAGACTGGCATGCATCAGTCCACTCTCATTTTCTTGATAATATCCATGAGTCATATAGATGTTTTCTTTGTACCATGTATGTATCAAAAAAGGGGCCCCCGTTAGTGCTGGCACAGGGCCAGTGTGTGGGGAAAAAGTGAGATGTAGCTCAAGAAGCCTGTTTTCAGGGCATCCAGGCCCAAAGGTAAGTGCTTCTGGAATGGCTTCCACTGATCAGCCTTGAAGGAAAACATGGAGAACAATCTTCTGTGTCTAGAAACTTTCATTCAATAGGCCAAATTTATAGCTACCACTAAGTCCTTAGAGTTAACAGAACACATAGAGATAATCATATACAATATATATATATTTCTTCCTGCTATTATATGGCAATGTTGCAATATGGAAAGAAAGTGAGTTATTAAACATCCAAATATTCGACGGGCATTGGTGCATGCCTTTAATCCCAGCACTCGGGAGGCAGAGGCTGTCGGATCTCTGTGAGTTCAAGGCCAGCCTGGTCTCCACAGCGAGTGCCAGGATAGGCTCCAAAGCTACACAAAGAAACCCTGTCTCAAAAAACAAAAAAAGAAAAAAACATCCAAATATTCCAATCAAATATATACAGCAGTTTGTTACCAGCCTCCAGAGTGAGTAGGGTGGAACATTATGCTGCACAGCTTGAGGGGTGTTCAGAGTATAGCCTTGGAGATGGACTCATTGCTTGGGGTTGTCACTTGGTCTAGCTATGAAGTTTCAGAGTCTTTGGACTTCTGCCTTCAGTATATTCACGGATCTTTAAGATCATCATTATCCAAAATCTGAACCTAGGCAAGATATGCTTCATCTGTACTTTCTGCTGTGTGGCTTCCAGTTCCCACTGAGACACAATCAAGAGTGGAGTTCTGCTGGGTTCACACCTGGAGCCATATGGGAGTTAGAGGGCCACACTGCCATTGAATCCATGCTGATCTAAGGGGCATGTAATGTCACTGGGTGCCATGGTGCTGTCCAGGCCTGGGTTGCTGCCAGGGGCCGTGCCTGGGTTCATGGCCCTGATGCAGCTGTGGTCTGTGTTAATGTCTGTAGTTTCTGTTACAAGCAAAAGCAGTGAGGATAGTGCTGCACAGAGTTGCCCTCACCAACTGTACCACAGTAGACAGACAGCCCTGCACCTACCCAAGGCATCACAATTAGCTATCCTTGCCAGTGGAGTGTGTGAGTGAGCTGACTTTGAATATTAAAGAGTGGAAGAGTTAGCCCCTTGGTCCATCTCACGGGGGTGTGAGTGAGGTAGAGATACTCCCCCTCCTTGCTCCTTGCTCCGCTCCCCTTGCCTTCTGGTACAGGATGCAAAAAAACTGGTCCAGGGCCATGGGAGTGGGAGAGTTGATCCTGCCCCTCAATAGCTGCAGCACTTGGGAAAGTGGGCCCTGCACCTTGCTAGGGCAGCATAGAAGAGCTGACCCTATTGATGAAGGCAGGTGATTCTGTACCATGAATATGCATGGGAGATCTGAACCCACCCTTCATTAGCCATATGGTGGAGTGGGCAAGGAGAGATGACCTAGCCCCTACCCGGCACCTGTGGTGGGTGAGAGTGCTGGCCCTGAGGTCATGAAAGTAGGAGAACTGGCTCTGCCCCTGACCTGCAGCAGAACTAGGTAGGGAGAGCAGGCCCTACATCTCACCTGGGTAGCACACTAGAGATGACCTGTTGGCAGGGGCACATGTGATCCTGGCCTGTAGGCAGGAGAACAGAAAAGCTGCCCCTGCCCCCTTCCTGGTATGCCATGGGATGGCACAGATAAGGGAAATATGCCCTACCACACACATACCTTTTGCCACCTGCTACAGGTAGGAGAGCCAATCTCGTGGGCATGAGGATGGAAGAGCTGATTCTTCCCCTCACCAAGTGCAACAATCCAGTGAGTGGGCCCTGCCCTTTGCTTGAGCAAAGCAGTAGAGCTGTCCCTGGTGGTGTGAGTGCAGGGGAGCTGGACCCAAGGATGTGAGAGCAAGAAACCTGGCTCTGCTCCTTGCTGCCTGCTAAATTGGGTGAGCTAGCCAGGGCAGTGCTGGAGAGCATGCCTAGGTGGTGATGATAAGGGAAAGCTGGCAGCCTGACCAGCCCAGTTACCACCCAGGCCGAGAATCAGAATAATGAGTTGGCCACTCCAAGACCC